AACATCTTTCATCCACACACACTCAGATTGTACCTTATTTCTAACAATTATTTTATACAAGCACACATCTTGCGCCAAAATTTAGTTTTAAAAATCTCACATTGTCCTAGTGAAAATGCATCACAACCTGTGCTTTATTGGGTATTCAGGATTCGCTAGTTTTTCAGATGGTACTGGAAATTGAGATAAAGCAAAACATCAACACACCATAAGTCTGCAAAACCCATGAAATTGAAAATAAAATCTGCAAAACCCATGAAATTGAAAAGAAAATCTGCATAACCCATGAAATTGAAAAGAAAATCTGTAGAACATGAGAGAAATTACCGTGAGACTAACCTTGCAAACGAAGTCGTGGGTCGAGACTCGGACAGACAGAGGGAGATGAGATGATCTAGACACAGATAGACAGAGGGATCAGGGATCACAGAATGGCGGAGGCTGGGAAGGAGATGAAAGGGTCCAAATAGGGGGGATGAGGGATTGAATAAGGGATCGATGTTTAGCTTTATGGTTTCAGATTAAAGTCACTAACAGACAGAGGGATCAGAGATGAGGGAATGAAAGGATAAGGGAATGAGGGAATGAGAGGGTCTAGCTCCGGACATAGATAAACAGAGGGATCAGGGATCGCAAAGCGGTAGAGACTGGGAAAGAAAGAATATTAGATAGGGGGGTGAGGGAATAAGGGATCGATGTTTAGCTTTAGGATTTCAGATTAAAGTCACTGAACGACGTCGTTGATCAATACAAATACAAACTTTCAGAACGACACGCCATTTTTAGTACTAAATATAAAACGATGTCGTTTTTTTAAAACATTCCAGTTCAATTTTCGAAACTCAAAAACCAAACTGAACCAACCAGATTTGGTTTGGTTTTTTTTGGGTTTGATTTTTTCGTTCAGTTTGATTTTTTCGATTTCATTTTGGTTCGGTTTTTGATTTTTTGAACCCACCTTTACCATTTAGGCTCGCGAGTCAACCGGACCCAAAGAATGAGAAAGCAAGAACTGGGCCGAGTTTAGCCAGGAAAATTCTCGAGCTTCGTTCGAACTCGATTCTTAACTATTTTCAATGAAATAAAAGTCAAAATGAAGCTTAGGAGATTAGGAACAAGAGTATACCAAAATGAGGTTGAGCTAAGGTCGAGATCGGCCGGAAAAAGCCTGCAAAGGTCGGGTTCCTTGCCAGAAAACTAAGGAAGTTTTCTTCGAGTTATCTTTGATTCCAAACAAAACTAAAACATCTCAAAAACATCCTAATCATACTCCAAAACAAAATCTAAGGAGCATTTGGGGGTTTTTGAAGTTTAGCTTCGCCGGGGACGGTGAGAAATCGTCGAGGAAGAATCTTGAACAATGGTAGTGCCACTATGTAGAGAAATGAGAGATAGAGAGTGTCTAGTCAAGGGTTCGGGGTTTATGATGTAGGTTGTCAGGTGGGCTTTGCGGTGGTGCTTGCCGGAGTAACGACGACATGGTGGTGGTGGTGGTCATCGGCGTTCACTGGGTTTCACAGATGAATGGCGGGAGATGAGAGAGAGTGAGCTAACAGAGAGATGAGTGAGATACTACGCAAAGAGAGGAATTTGAAAGGTAGAGAAGGAAGACACGTGGCGAAGAGGAGAGGAGAGTTTGGGTAAGGTGTGACATCCCACATCGCCCAGGGAAGTGATCCTTAAATGTATATTCCCATCCCTACCTAGCACGAGGCCTTTTGGGAGCTCACTGGCTTCGGGTTCCATGGGAACTCCGAAGTTAAGCGAGTAGCGCACGAGAGCATTCCCAGGATGGGTGACCCATCGGGAAGTTCTCGTGTGAGTTCCCAAAAACAAAATCGTGATGGCGTGGTCGGGGCCCAAAGCGGACAATATCGTGCTACGGTGGTGGAGCGGGCCCGGGAAGTCGTCCCACCCGGGCCGGGATGTGACATTGGTATCAGAGCCTAACCCTGGTCGCGTGTGTGTCGACGAGGACGTCGAGCCCCTAAGGGGGGTGGATTGTGACATCCCACATCGCCCAGGGAAGTGATCCTTAAATGTATATTCCCATCCCTACCTAGCACGAGGCCTTTTGGGAGCTCACTGGCTTCGGGTTCCATGGGAACTCCGAAGTTAAGCGAGTAGCGCACGAAAGCATTTCCAGGATGGGTGACCCATCGGGAAGTTCTCGTGTGAGTTCCCAAAAACAAAACTGTGAGGGCGTGGTCGGGGCCCAAAGCGGACAATATCGTGCTACGGTGGTGGAGCGGGCTCGGGAAGTCGTCCCACCAGGGCCGGGATGTGACATAAGGTGTAGGCTTCGTGGGCCAGAAAAATTAATAAAATATCCTACTAGAATTATTAAAATAATTAAATAATAATATAATAATTATGAAAATATATAAAATATAAAATAGTAATATTTACAAAAGTGTTTTTCAGATTCGTAGTTCTGTAAAACTTCTCTCGTAACTCCGATTTCAATTTCATTTGCACTACGCATTCGTACCATCGAGTACTTTGAGAATACGGTACAATAGTAGTTCGTACACGTTATGAAAAGACGGTCAACAAAAGTCAACAATCTCGCCTCTAGGGTATTTTCGTCAATTCACTCTTTTAAAATTAATAGAGCCGTAAAATTCGGAACGGATTGTTACATCAAGATATTAAAACCCAACTTGACGGAATTGATAAAAACTCACCAAAGTGTGGCAAATAGTGATATTTTTGTTTCAGAGGGTAAAGTGGGATTAAAATTGAGTTTCAAAGCTACATAAGCAATAAATTGATTTTCTTCTCTAACAACATGCTCTTTGTGGTAGCATCGACCTTTGTAACGATTAAGACTAGTAAGACTGTCAGTCCATACAATGTCCATGTACCAATAAAAGATTCAGCAGCTACCGTGGCCCCTCTTTCTTTAGGTGGAATTCTAGGTTGATGAGTTACTCAAAATGCTGGCAAAATATCAGTATATTTGGTTTCATAGTTAGAGTATAATAAGTAAATTTATAAGGGACATTTTAAAAATAAGTCTTTTGATGTTGCCTGATTTATTATTTGAATATTGTGATTTATGTCCCAAAAATTGATTTATGATATGAAATTTGTTATAATTCATCTATGCAAAAAGTTACAGCTAAATAGTAGGTAGTGAATTACATTGGTGGTTGATATATTTTCTCTTCAATCTACTGCGTTTTATGTTTAAACGCTCCTCTAATTTAGTGTATATTATCCTATAGTTTGTAATAATTTACGGCTAAATAATTACATTACAACGTTCTTGTCGATTTAGATTAAAAAAAATATATAAATAAGAAAATCGAAAAAATCTTGATAGTTTGGGCGTAAATCCAATCTAATCACTTACTTTCAGTTTGTAATTTGCAGACTAAGTGGTGTTAAGAAATGCCATAACCCATAACTTCATTCCCCTTTAAGCTCGTCTGGTTTTATATGCGAGGAACAATGTTCATTGATTGGAGTTTTTCAACTCATAGTCCCCTATATTATGAGCTTTGAAGTTTTATTTTTTGTTTTGAAATAGACAAAAAAAATATGGAATAGGCAAGGTTGATGGAGTCCTACTCTTCTAAGGTCTTCATTTTGAGGACATGTGACAACCAAATACATATTAGCCATACGATTATTTTAGTTTAGATAAAAAAAGTTTACAATATTTGACAACATAATAGAGTGTGTGGGGTGTGAGCGCAATATAGGAAAGTGTGTGGGTGTATTTAGATAAATTGTAATTGAAAAAGCAGATGTAAGGAGTACTCAGTATATGAAGTGGATTCAACAATATGTGAAGGGTGCATAAAAAAATCCTTAATTAATGGGTCAATTAGATCCAGGTCCAAAAACTCAAGTTGTTGAGTCCAATTGTAACATACCTATATCATAAGAAGACTTAAAAATTTCTAAGCAAAATTTATCTAAGATACAAATGAATACAACTAATTTTGAAGAGGTAGATAATTATATCCTCAATGATAGGGTTTTCCGTATTGTATACAGTCAACCCTCTAATGTCAAGGTTCTAAAAGATGCTAGACGTTAGTCGGGCGGTAGGTTGAGACCTAGCTGTTTAAGTAAATTTATTATAGATCGTATAAATAAGTGTATGTTTATACTTCAAAAATACATAATTTCACTATGATATATAAACTGCAAATAGAATAACATATAGATTGTAAAGTTTTAGAACATAATGATTCATGAAGACATAAGCAACATGCATATAATGTGTGTTCCTCTAAGTATTTAACAAGTCTCTTACAATTTATTAAAAATAAATAAAATGTAAAATGTAAGTTATCTATTTTTTGTCTAAGTGGGAGTCGCAACCTAGCGGGTTTGGGCGGCCTAGATAGTCTAGGCGGGCGCCTAGATGGTTTAGACTTGCGCCTAGGCTGTTTAGGCAGGCGCCTAAGTTGGTTTAGAGCCCTTTCTTAATTTTCAAACTCCTAAGGATTAATTGGAGCAGTAACCAGTTGCTTAACACCTAGGCGGGGTCTATAAGTGACTCTAGGCGGGGATTTTTAGAACATTACTAATTGTATATGTCTTGTAAGAATACAGTAAACAAAGCTATCAAGATATTTTCCCAAAATGCAGGCCTCTCTCTTTTCTGCACCAATTCTCTATCTGTCAATCGCTCTGCTGATCTATCTTTTCCTATAAATTCAATATGTGAAGAGTGTAGAGACGAGGATTATATCCCAGTCGATTGTCTATGGCAGATTCTATCACTTCAAAGGTGTCATTCGAATTCAAGGATGCCTACTCAACAAGTATGTCATATCTACACCTTACTGATGGAAAAATCATTGTAATCTGTATAGATAAAATAAAGAAACCTTCACAACTTACAATCTATATAGTCATGCATGGACTTTTTCTTCCATATTAGCAGGGAAAAAAAAACTCAGTCCTTGCGCATATGTTGTTTGATAATGATCAAAGTCTTCATATAAGTTCATGTCAATCTAATATTTATTCACCTCAAATTATATTACAAAGATAGCAATTCAGCCAAAAAAAGAAAAGAAAAGACAGAGAAAAATGTGTAGAAAATAGGATGAAAAATGTAGAGATTGTCTAGCTTAATTTGCTAGCAGAGACTACAGAAAATCCCTTTGTCCCTTTGTAACTTCAAAACATGGTATTGCATTCTGTTTCCACTGATGCAACCATGAAAAAAAGGGAATCAACACCGACACCAAAATAGAAAAGCCGTCCAGTCATACATATATGCATTTTTTTTCTGATCATCTTTGAAGCCACTGCGGATGAACTTATTGATGATTCGTTGTTGCCTCTCTGAAATTTCGAGTATTTGATTTCATAATTTATGAAGCTGCAAAAAAGTTGTATTAGCATATATTAAGGTGGGGAAGATGATATACATGATAAACTGCATGCTCAAAAAGGGTTTCTCTTACCATGTAATAACTAATAAGAATGGTAGTAAACATAGGCACCTCAAATTTCTAGTACTATATCTGCAATGGAAAAACAGGCAACCATCAGATCCAGATTTTGTGCAGTTTGGTTCCCTAAATTAATTTTTTTCCTCAAAAGTGTGAGCATATTAATAAATCAAGCTATTTGAGAAAAAACTGAAAACTGAACTTACATTCAGAATCTGTCTTGACCCATTTACATCCATCATTAATCTTCTCTTTTGTATCATCTTCATTGTTATGTCCCTTCTTTGTTGGATTCTGTCTGTCCTCGAGGTATTTCTTCATTGATGATGCTCGAGAAGCACCTTGTGGATTGATGATGTTCTTGTTAAGCATTACCCTAAGAAGCTGTAAAGCCAAAATCATATAATGGATGATCAATCAAGATGTTAATGGAACTAATTAAATAGTTAACATATTTTATAATGCGTGTTATGATGTTTTTTTTGTAACAAATCTGAATTGCGGGGAGAGGGATTCGAACTCAGTTTCACGTGCATAAACGATTATGTAAGTTTGCACATACCTTCTCCATTCTCGACTCTTGAAGTGTATGTCTCAAACTTGGTGCTGGTGCAAATCCACTGCTACAAACGAACATCTTCTTAAGAAGAAAAGAAATTGATTTCTTCCCAATTGCCTTCTTATTGTCTGCACAAATGTCTTTGCATCTACCAAGTATGACACTAATAGTTTTCTCAATATCTTCATCCTTGTGATCATCTGATGAATCGGAGCAAAGGGCGTTGCTGGTTCTCCGATCAACCTCCAAGCTCGATGGGCAATTTAGAAATCTGTCCAACGGAAGATCTGCGATTTGCTTTTCTATGTCTGGTTTTCGCGTTAAGAGTTTCATCAACTCTTTTTGCAATTTACCTACTTCCTCTGGTGTGAAATTATCTAGGATTTCTTCGGATGAAGACGGATCTTCCTGAATATCTTGGCTTTGAGCATCATTTTTTTCTTTCAATTCATTGTTTCCAAAAGTTCCAATTGCTAGTAATCCATGAGGCCAGTCACTGAATTCTTCGCGTGGCTCTTGTTTCGCAGAATCTACACAATACATAAATAACAAATCACATAAAGAATTAAGGAACATTCAAAATAGTGCAGCTTTATTTATTTCTTTTTATCTTGTAATGGAAGTTGATCTATTTAATATATATATAACTTATGAAACCTCATCTCTGCATATATTGGAAATCTAGATTTCTTAAATCTAGTACCTGTCAACTTTATTAACATGATCTGAGTTGATTTTTAATTTTTCTTTCTATTGTAATTGATTCATTGAAGTAAAAATAAAAATGTCAATGTTATCAATGATATGTGTCAATGCAGTAAATGCAAGTTTTTTTATAAATTCACAACTCATGTAACACGCATAAGCGACTTTTCGTAGCACAGCTCTTTAACAAAGATCTTTATTGGACTGAAATGACTAAAAGATACTATAACATGCATAGCTTCTTGAAGAAAAATTCCTACATTTATAGGAAGAGTCACATCATTCAGATTAAAACGCAAACCATGGCATTTAAAAGTAACATATACAATTTATTGGTTAAAACGCAAATCACATCATTCGCTTACGGGTTGTAGTAGGAACTGTATTTGGTTTCTTGTTTCCTTGCTTCCCATTGATCTTATTTTGCATCCAACTAAAAAGCTGCAATAAAAAAACCAGAAACCACCAACATTAGACAACCCCACTTCTCAGCCTTCCCAAGCATGTTTCAGCTGAAACAACAAACCAACCTCTCTCTCTCTCTCTCTCTCTCTCTCTCTCTCTCTCTCTAACACACACAAACATAAACAGTACACGTGAAAGTATGTAACAGAAACAAAGACTCACCTTCATTTTCTAAGATACAAGTGGGTGGTTGGACTCCTCTGACAGAAAAGTGGTGGAGGAGATGGGTTGGGTTGGAGGAGGAGAGTAGTGGAGTTGGAGGAAGTTAACTTGTTTGCAGAAGTGAGGTGTTGGAGGGCAGATCTTAAAAGCCAATGAGAAATGAACTTTGGGATTATAATACTAAACAAAAATCGGATTGGTTGAATTTCATGGCCAAGCTGATCAAATAAGAACAGATGAGAAGGGATTTGTTTAATTAATTTCTACTGGTTCAAGTTCCTAAACACAAGGGTGGCTTCATATCTCTGTACCTAGCCAATCTTTTCCCACCTTATTCTCTCTGATATAAACCCACTAGCAAATATTATATATATATATATATATATATATATATATATATATAACCTATAAAACATTCTGTTTAATTCTCTGTTCATCTAATTTAATCCGTATACATACTTAATGACACATGGGTCAGTCTGAATTTGCGGATACATTATATATTCTGAAACATCTGATCGACATGGCAGCCTTTTTATCCTCTCATTTAAACGTTGGAACCAATCTCTATACAATTTTTGTGGTGTGTTACATGAAAAAAAATTCGTTCAGATATCTTGATTTCGCAATTAATTAGTCAAGTTACTTGTAATGTCAACTTTTAGTTACGTCTCTTAAAATTTCATTTTGATCTCACTTTACATCTATAACTTAAAAATCATCATTTTACTTTATGAAATTTAAAATTTGTTTTACTTTGACTCGTAAATTTTCTCTTCTTCTTGAAAGTTATAAGTTGTCTCCTAACATATGTGGAATCCAATACTTAATAAGACTATACTACACTCAATAAATTTGATTATAAATTTGTGGGACCCAACACCCAATAAATTTGATTATAAATCACCATTATGTATTAACATTCAACAATAAGAGAATATTAAGTTTAAAAGAAATTGAAGATATGAAGAAGAAAAAAAATTAATTAGCCTAGTGCACTCAAATCAAACTCACATAAGATATTAACAGATTCAAGGCAATGTGGAGCGAATTAAGAGTTTTATAGAGATGACTTTCAAGTTTCAGACAACAAAATGAGATCAAAATCGAGTTTCAGGGGGCAAAGTGAAGTGAACTTTGAGTTTTAGGGCGTAAAGTGGCGAATTTTAAGTTACAATGAGCAAAATAAGATTAAAATCCAATTTCAAAGAGATTGTAGCTAAAAATAAATCTACTTTTAAAGAGGTGAGATTTTTATATTGAGAGTTATATGGGGCCAAATTGTCCTCAATACAAGAGAAATTCTTGAGTCTGATCCACTCACAGAAGGGTGGAAGTCTTGCGTTAGAATAACCAACATGCGAATTGTATCTAAATACAGAGGAGCGATCAATCTCTTAGTGAGGGGGACACAATCTACCTAGTTCTCCAAATATAAGGGGAGTTGCTAAACAACTTGTGGTTGTACTATCTACTTGTGTACAACTTAAACCCTTTTGACTATCTACTTGTGGTTCCACAAGCTTCTTCTAACCTAAGTACATGCACATTAGTTGTACTTTGGACTAAAAATTGCTGCAATTTCGCATGTTGCCCAGCCATTTGCATCAAATTGCTACTTAAAACCTTTTTAATATTACCATTTCCGATGTGTCACAATAAACAGATCATGAACAATCACCCTTGAAGAATTCTGGAACTCCATAAATTTGAGAGAAACTCTTGATTTTAATTGAATGATATGATAAGATGAATAAAAATACAACCCTAAATGTTGTTTAAACAGTCTTAACAAACCCTAGATTCAAATAAGAAATAAATTAAACAAATAACAAAATATAAAAAAGATCCTAAAATATTAAATTCCGATCGAATTAAACACATTAAATGATAATTCGCCTAAAATTCGACTAGGCTTGTTTGCAAACTTGTAGATCTCGTCATTTTCTTTGAGTCCATATATTACGGGCCTAAAACTGACATGTCAAATGAAAGTAGGTTAACCTGAGTAGCCTATGAAGTTCAAAACATCCACTTTCAGTTTTCAGGATATATGATAACTGTAAATAATCTTTTAACCTGTGAATTACCAATTCTCAAATTACTTTTCTTAATTAAATGAGGTAAAGCCCACCATACATAATATCGTTTGTTTAAAATTAAAAATGAAAAAATTCCAGTCTATAAACATAGCAAATTACTATGCGCTTGTCACTCATTTTGTTTTTTCCTTCGCCATAACATAATTCAGTTTTGAATCCTATATATAACAAATTTCAGTGGGCCAGCAGATAACAGTTGGAGCGTACAATGTATATGCCAAAAGCTTTTTGATCAAAATTTACGACGATAAATTGAAATACAAATGGCAGATCAAGGCAAACAGTTTAGCTTATAAGTCGGAACTTGAAGGTATGGGCAGCATGCAGGATTAGCAATATATATTATGTTGGATGAGAATAAAGGTGAAAAAAAAAGGGGTGGGGTGGGGGTATGGTGTCATAAATAATAGACCATCAATCGTCGATCAAGTTATAAGAAAGATCTGGCGTGGGATATGTCCCTTACTGACCGGACTGGCGCCTCATTATCTCACCTGCCTCAAATATTGTAGGGCACAGAAAACTCTCTCACAATTTCATGGACCCTTTTCTGCAATTAGTCGTTGTTTTTACCTTAATTTTCATTTACGTAAAACGACAAAAATGTAAGACAACCGTTAGATTAGACCCCAGAAGCTCAAGTTATCTGAGAATAGGGCGAGATAGACATATGCATCCTTCGTTGCATGTGGATAAGCACACAATTGCAATGGAATAGGGATAGACAAATGCATACAGATAAGTGCAACTCCACCCTGCCGGAAATTATTGAAATTATATGTTAGAATATGCGAGTATCCCTTAAAACTTAATGGACAATCATTAGACCATAAAAAAAATCTAAAGTAGCCAATAAAAATATATCGAAGCCAACAAATATAACTAATAACGATACACACACACACACACACACACACACACACACATATATATGGGGCATCAAAAGAATAAAGTTGGATTCTGTAGTAAATATAATTATTTTACGTTAATTATAGCAAAGTAAATGTACAATTTTTTCCTTGTCATACATGAAAAAGCCACACGACATATAATACCACACATGCTAGAATGATTTGGATTTTGGACTTTGTCCCAAGAAATATTTCAAGTGTATCTCATCTTTTGACCACCGTCCTCAGATATGCAGGAAATACATATCTAAGATGAAGAACATGTTTAGGAAACAAAATCTTATTGGATCATGAGCAGAAGAAATCTCTCTGCAACAAGAGATACAGAACAATCCACAACTACAAATCCCTATCGTGATTTATGAAGGGAAACCTAGATATATATGGCAGATATATTAATTGTTTTGAATCCAACATACCAAACAATCTCACGACTGCCCCTTTTTTCTTCAAATTCGTACTTAAAATGTCCCCATTGGATCTCAAAACTGATAAAACAATGAGTTATTTGCACATTTTTATTTATTCTGATCTTTTTATTAAATAAATTAAAAATATAGTTAAGCAGCTGAGGGAAGAGAGTATCCAATTAAATGAAGACATCCGCATGGTCTTATTGTGGATCACCACAGTGGAATTGGCTACGTGTCACGACAAAGTGAACCCATCATGTGTTGTCGGACCAACACGTGTACCAAGGATGGCGGGTTGACTTTTACCAAAAATGTCAAAAATAGAGAAGCAAAACCCTACTGCATAATTTGCTTCTATCTAGATCACTACCATCTTCTCTATCTTTATTAAGCATGATTGCATAGGAAAACAGTGAAGATTACAATGAGATTAACAAAGTTTACTTGGCTGAGTATTTGTGTTGTGTCACTCTCACGGTGTATGATGCCACATAAATCAAACCGTAAACCCTAATTTCAAAACAACTTTTAGCTATACTAAACCCTTTCATTGGTGCAAATTAACATTAATTAGACAAACCAACATGTGAGATTGTGCAGCCTCTGAGATGGGATTTGTACGATTTTTACATTACTTAATTACTACTCTCACGTTGAAGAACTCAATGAGCTACGCGCAGGATGTTCTGTGGTTTATATATTTGATACACCACCTCTAAACCACACCCTAATTCTTAATCCATGGTCAGTGAATAGTGATCACACCCTGTATTCAAAGTAATACCATATAAATGCAAGCAAAAAGAGAGATACTACTCTTCTAATTATTAATTCTTCACGTGACAGGTGCTTATTGGATGGTGATGCATTTTTATATACCTGAAATATTTTTTGGACAAATAACGCCACTAAAAATATATAGTGGTTTCAAGAAAGAATTCATTAGTAAAAATATCCGAAGTATGTGTCATCATTGTTGGAGATGCATAGAAAGTTGCTCAGGATTCGAAATTTTATTCTCCAGATGCAGGGCGAGGGCCAATGCAAAGGGAGTTCAAAAGAAAAATCACTCCCACCAAGATGCAACTTTAATGGAGAAGGGAAAAGAAGCCATGTTGGTTATGCATCTAGTAGATGTCTAGGGTTAAGCAAACGTACGGACTAAACTTTCTAAATCTGGAAACTACTACACTCAGTCCAACATAAACCTGTCTTGTGAGATGTGGACTTCCATCCACCAGAAGGGGTGTGGTGCCATCATTGTATTGAGTCTATTGACTGGCTCTTCTTTCATTGTATCTTCAATTAAATTAATAAACAATGTGTATTGCATTAAGACTAAGCAAATGTTTCATCTTGCAACAAGGTCCTTAGGGTCCTCACTAATCAAAATACATTATCTTATTTGTCATGCAAGTAATAAATTATGGCTTGTCTGTCAGAAACACTGAGAAACCCACTATTTTTTACCGCT